CTAATCATCTACACCTGGGATGTCAAACAAACACGAATGCCATTTGTAAATAGTTTAGCTTATTTCTATTTTTGAAGGACACGTGTGTAACCAAGTTTGTGTTTGATAAGACATTTATATATATATATATTTTTTTTTCTATGTATATCTGTTGCTTTTTATATTGTTTTCGTAAACAGTTCATTTGTATGTGGGACCAATACATTGGATATGCCTAGGCTAAACATTCAGACACCACCACAACGTTTGAGAGAGGTTGGTGTTGTAGAAATGTAGTTTTTATAGTGAACAAAAACTTTTAGGCACATCCAGTGTGCAAAAACAGTGCAATTACCACATTCGGACACTTTGGAGAGGTTCAAAGTACACTTGAATGTACCCTGGATACCCCATAACACCATCACAATGTTTGAGTGAGGTTGATATGGTAGAAATTGTGTTTTTATACTGAACAAATAGCATTTAGGGATTGCAAATATCTAATAGCACTTGAATGATCTAATTTACAGACATATGCCACTTTGGAGAGGTTTAGGGACACTTGGAAACGTCCCGTGACCACACCTGACATAACTTACTAAAACAACTGCCCATTTCTAGTTGTTAGGTTTATCAAAAAAAAATCTGATATTGTTCACATGCTGTGGAAGCCATCTGATGTGTTTCCAGCTCATGTCATCAATAATTCATTTACAGCTTGTCAATGAAAGATGACTTTCAAAATAAAAAATAAAATAATGGTTATTTTGTGTGTGCTTGATCTTGTGTATTCTGAACTATGTAACTCCTATCTATCTTCTGATCATTTCCTCATCATCTCCCAGATGTCTTCTTTCCAAATATACAACGTTTTTGCATGTCAGAATCATGTAATTACACATGAATAGCAGTTACCTTTGGGTGTGTCTATTTAGGTGGAAATCTACATTTTGCCATTACATTTAAGAGGTTTAACTATACTTTTGGGCACTAGAAGTCCCCACAAGAATAGTAAACAATCAAAAATTTGACCAATTGGGGACATTATGTTAGTCCCCACAAGGTCAAATGCTATTTCTAGGGGGTTTAGGGTTAAGATTAGAATTAGTGTTAGGGTTAGACTTACGTTTAGGAATAGGTTTATGAGCTAGGCTTAGTTTTAGGGCTAGGTTTAGGGTTAGGGTTAAGGTTAGGTTTTCGGGTTAGGGTAAGGTAAAGGTTAGGTTTAGGGTTAGGGGTTAGGGAAAATAGTATTTTGAACAGGACTGAATTGTGTGCCCCCACAAGGTTAGTTATACAAGACTGTGTGTGTGTGCGTGCATGTGCATGCATGTGTGAAGAATTGGTTTTCCCCTTGTAATTTGAGATCATGTGACTTGAGGTGTGTGCGTGTGTGTGTACGTCATTGATCACGAGGCTCCTAGAAATCTATTATTCCTTCCCGTCTTCCATCACCGATCTGTATGTTATTGTATAAGTGAGAGGAGGAGGAGAGGAGGACAGGATGAGAGGAGAGGAGAGGAGACAGGAGGAGTGGAGTGGAGGAAGAGAGAGGAGGAGGAGAGGAGGGGAGGAGGAGAGGAGAGGGGAGGAGTGGAGAGGAGAAGGGGAGGGGAGAAGGGGAGGAGGAGAGGAGAGGAGAGGGGAGGAGTGGAGTGGAGGAAGAGAGGAGAGGAGAGGAGGAAGAGAGGAGAGGGGTGTGTGTGTTCCACCATATTGATTGTACAAACCCAACCCTCCCAGGAATGTATTTGAACTAAGCCTGGGGTTCTTATTGAATGGACTGTTATTATGCAGTAGTTCACTTCCTATTTGACCTCTGACCTAACCTTACTTCCCCTCCAACAGGTAGGTAGGTAGGTACACTACTAATATGATATTCCAGTCCACACTATGTTTAAATTGAAGTTCTTTAAAGGTATGGTATGTCCTCTCTGTCTGTCTGCTCTGTGGAATCTGTCTATTGGTAACGTGTGTCTCTGATATGAGTGTTGTCAAACACACAAAGTGATGTCAGACAGGGGTATTGATAATGATTAAGGTCGTGGTCGTGGTCCTCTGTAGCTCAGCTGGTAGAGCACGGCGCTTGTAACGCCAAGGTAGTGGGTTCGATCCCCGGGACCACCCATACACAAAAATGTATGCACGCACGACTGTAAGTCGCTTTGGATAAAAGCGTCTGCTAAATGGCATATTATTTATATTATTAATGATTCCCTTTCAACACTAGGGTGGGATACTATAATCCATGACAGTGTGGAAAATGTATATGAAATATATTAAAAAATATATAGTATTTCATAATACACACATAACTAGATTCACAATATTGCACTTTCTTTATCTGGCTTGTTAATGAAAATAGGACATCCATATCTTAAACTTCTGTCACCTCCAGACAAATGTAATGTCATCAATTTCATCCATTGAAACTAAAGCTAGTATGTAATTTCTTGATTCACCAAAACTGGTGTCTAACCCTTTGGGCCACTTGACACAATCAAGATTGAATTCAAAAGACTGCCTGCCCTCCACTGTTTGACGCTCAACTCAACTTAATCAATCAAACAGAGCAAGAATAACGTGTTACTTGAGTTAGACAGGTGTGAATGACTCTGTGTTATTGGCCTGGAATGAATCATAGAATACCTGTATTTAAAACAAATTAAATATCATTTGGCGTTGGATGTGGATTATATTTAGGCCTGAATTGTATATATTGGTAGCTAACTAAATGATATTATTACCCTTTCTTTGCAAATTGCCTTGCCTGTAGTCACCAAGCATATTTTATACACAAGGAAGTGAGTAGAAGAAATTGGAGCCAGGAAGATGGGTCTTTAACAAAAAGGGTGACTCTACATATCTATTGTCGGAGGAGGAGCAGGGGTAGGCCTGACAACATCATTGTTTCCATTGAGTGTTGTCACCGGTTCACCCCTCCCCTGGGAAGACTATGTCACACCTACCTGCATGATATTGAGCAGAGAGGCAGGTTTCTCAATCCTTTGTCCCGCGAGTGCTGTTTTAAATAGCGGGAGAGTGAGCTTAGGTGGTGACATCGCCGCATGGACACCTGTTCTCGAGCGCACCTGTGACTTACATTAGTTTCAAGGACAACTAGTTCAAGGAGAACCACGACGCTTTTTACTTCAAGAAATCTTCCAAGTCACAAAAGTACAGGTAACATTTCCATCTCTTTTATCTAATGTTGTGGATATTTTAAAACAAAAATGATTTCTTTGTTTTAAAAATGTATTCCTAGTTTTTTTCACGTTTCACTGGTGGATATGTTGTTGTTGTTGTTGTTGCAGCTGGTTAAACTACACTATCAGATCAGATATTATTAACTCCTCCTTGGAATACAGACGTTTTTCATTGCTTTTGTCACATTATTTAATTTAATCAGGGTGTCTACTAATTAATAATGTGAAAACAATAATGGTGTATTCTTAATTCAACAATATTACCCATTCACTATGAAGTATTTTGTTGTTGTCGAATACACCACCGTGTAATAATAATTAATTACCAATTGCTATTGTGAACCTAATAATGGTACGCCTATGTTTATTCACTGGTATGTTCATGTATTTATTAAATCTGGTATGATAGTTTTATATTCCCATTGATACAACGCAAAGCTTTAGAAATGTACATTTACATCATTTAGCAGACGCTCTTATCCAGAACGACTTACAAATTGGTGCATTCAACTTATGATAGCCAGTGGGACAACCACCCTATTTTTTATGGGGGGGGGGGGGGGGGGGGGGGGTAGAAGGATTACTTTTATACTATTCCAGGTATTCCTTAAAGAGGTAGGGTTTCAAGTGTCTCCGGAAGGTGGTCAGTGACTCCGCTGTCCTGGCGTCGTGGGGAGCTTGTTCCACCATTGGGGTGCCAGAGCAGCGAATAGTTTTGACTGGGCTGAGCGGGAACTGTGCTTCCGTAGAGGTAGGGGGGCTAGCAGGCCAGTGGTGGATGAACGTAGTGCCCTCGTTTGGGTGTAGGGTCTGATCAGAGCCTGAAGGTAAGGAAGTGCCGTTCTCCTCACAGCTCCGCAGGCAAGCACCATGCTTTTGTACTAGATGCAAGCTTCAACTGGAAGCCAGTGGAGTGTGCGGAGGAGCAGGGTGACATGAGATAACTTGGGAAGGTTGAACCCCAGACGGGCGGCAGCGTTCTGGATAAGTTGTAGGGGTTTAATGGCACAGGCAGGGAGCCCAGCCAACAGCGAGTTGCAGGAATCCAGACGGGAGATGACAAGCTTGTAGTATCATTGTCATCATGTGCAAGCCCATAAATGCAAGCATACGCAAGGCGGTGCAATGCATTTGAATGTTGTTGATTACATTTGTAAAAGATTAATTGTATCTGTCCTTTATCAATACAGGTAACACTTTGTTTTATATTTGGTCATACTTCAGAATAGGGAACAAATATTGAGGTACTATGCCCTTATCAGTCCCATATTGAGACAGCTTACTAAGAGTCTGTTTGTTCTGTAACTTGGTCTTAATTAACTATGAATATGCCTTTATTATAGATAATAATGAGGTTATTAAGGATTGGCTAGTAACACATTACTTATAATGTTTGAGTAAGAAAAGCCCTTAATTAAGTCTCACTATATGGCTTGATAAGACATAATAAAGGATTTATTAGCTACTTGTATACATACTTATAAACTACAGATTAGTGGCTAATATATGTACCTTAAAATACCCAAATACATGATTATTATTATTATTATTATTATTATTATTGTTATTAGTAGTAGTAGTATATCCTTACTATGTGGATATCTGCAGTGGTGTAAAGTACTTAAGTAAAAATACTTTAAAGTACTACTTAATTCGTTTTTGGGGAATATGTACTTTACTTTACTATTTATATTTTTGACAACTTTTACTTTTTACTCCATACATTTTCCCTGACACACAGAAGTACTTGTTACATTTCCAATGCTCAGCGGGACAGGAAAATGGTCCAATTCACACACTAACATTTACTCAAGTATGAAAATTGAGTACTTTTTCCACCAATGGATCTCTGTTACTCTATCAGGAATGGACAATATCAGCAGACTGATGTTCGTATTCATGATGGCAATGGCGTACATGGCGATGGGAGCCGAGGCACAGAACTCCACAATCGCTCCAAACACCACAATTGCAGCTAATGCTACTATGGCACCCAACGTAACAATGGCACCTGTTGTCAACACCACCGTCACAGATCTCACGGTGAGTTACCTAGGATTCATGTCTCACTCTGTCAATTTGTATTTTGAGTGCATTTGAAGTGCCTGTTTGGGAGTTAAAATAAACTCATGTACTACACTATGTCACATAGGATTCTATAGGGCTTTTTAAAAGTCCCCAAAAGTGCTTTATAACAATGCAGCAAACAAGCTAAAAAAATTAAATAAGAAGCTATTATGTTGTGTTCTGATAAGGTAGTTAAACTAATCTTGTGAGGAATTTATAAGTTACGTTCTTCAAGAATCAGTAGGTATATGTTAATCATTTAAAAGTGAAAAATGTATCTACCAATAGCAAATTGCCCCTTTAAGGTAAAAGGAACAACAAACATGATTGCAACTAATGATGAACTCTTCATACACAGGGAAACATCTCAAGGGCGGAATGTGGAAAGTCTCAGTTCTGTGCTGCTGTGCCAGACAACTGTGATCCGTCCGTGGCTGGTTCCTGTTTCTTCGTCTCCACCCAGCAGTCCTCGGGACAGACCTTCTCCTTCCAGCTACGAGGAGTGTCCAGCGGCTACATCGCTGTAGGCTTGTCCACAGACTCCACACAGGTATGAAAAACTGCCTTTAGAATTACTATACATTTTACAATACAAAGGACAAGGGAGTTGGGGTTGGGGAGAGAGGTCATTTTAACTTTAGGAAATTCTGGATTTTGTCAATTTGGGGTATTGACATTTACATTTTATTCATGAATTGGGAAGAAATTGCCTAAATGAATACTTTTTAAATAATAATGTATTTGTATTTATTTATTTGATTTCATCCTCTCTCTCCTCTACAGCGTGGTAACGACACCACCTATGTGTGCGCAAACAACAAAGGCAGCGTGAAGTTATTCACCGCTCTCCTCGACAAAGGAGTTCTGACCGTCACCAACACGGTGAGTTGGACCTATCAGAACACACTGTTTTATTTTTGACTTCCTGGAACAGTCCGAGGTTTGATTTCAGGCAAATTCAGGAAGTATCAGTATTCATGAATTTGAATTCCATATTTTCTGGGTGGTCATTGAAGTTGGATTTGACCCTAATTCTCACGGTTATTCCCTGCATATACACTTGGGTGCCATTTGGGAAACTGCCTGGGAGAATAACAGTGTACCTGACTAATTCTACAGTGTAGGCCTACTGACATTTGTCTAATGCTCATTTTGGTTAATACTGTTGTGTTGTGTAGCTACCTGTGAACTCTATGAAAGGCTCAGTCAACGATCAGATCATCCAGTGCACCTTCTCTGCTACTGTCCCCAACGCTACGGCCACCCGGAGCTCCGACACCAGCTTCTTCCTCTCCATCTCCAATGGGACTTTTAATAACGGTGAGGCACTCATCCCATACAAGTGGGGTAAAAAGTCCCCTAGGGAGGAGAGGAAGTTCAAGTAGGGGAAGCTGCATTTTTTAGCGCTAAGTTTTTTGGAGGGGGAAACCCAGAGGAGTCGTGATAAGGGAGATTTTAGAGAACCTACTGGTCTCGCTAGAGGTGACATTTTGGTCTAGAGCTCTGAGAGTATCTCTGTCGAGAGAGAGAGGGGAGGAGAGAGCGAGGAGAGCGCTCCGAGAAAGAGAGACGCGATAATCAAAACGATCGATTACGGGCCCAAATTGATGAAGCCCTCTGAGTTTCCTTCTCTCTCTCTCTCTCGTCTCTCTCATCTCTCCTTTTCACCTCCTCAGAACTGGGTATTCCAAGCGTCTGGGTAAAGCGGTGGACCTGGGCAACTAACCGAACTGTGACCAACTCTTTGAACACACACCACCATGGAATCACCACTGACTGTCTGACCTCCACTACTGCTCCTCCTCCAGCCAGCCTTTGTCTGCACACACCCTGTCTCAAGGAATAAGCCCATAAGAAGAAGCACCACTAACACTTATAATGATAACTGATAAATGATTAAGCATTAATAAATATTTATAAAAAAGTATAAGATTAAATGCACTGCAAGAACATGTAGACCATGCATAACGTTGCAATTCGGAAGTTATTATAATGTACGTAATAACTAATCTCATATAATCCCATGTTACCTAGAGTAGAAAACAATATGAAAGGTTAAATAATTTTATCTCTGTCCCTTTCTGTCTCTCTATCTGGCGCTCTACTGCGTAGCGAGAGAGTCTACTCTCTCTATCCTATCTCTCTCTTATCTCTCTCTCGATACTTCTGTCTCTCATCTACTGATCTTTCTCTCTGACTTCTCTCTCTCTACTCACTCTCTGACGTCTCTATCTCGTCTAACTCTGGGGGGGAACCACTATTGCTATCAGCATCTCTGTACTCCATCTGCTCTCTCTAACTCTGCTCAATTCTCTATCTACTTCTCTCTCTCTCTCTATCTCTCTATTATCTCTCTCTTATCTCTATCTCTCTCTCTCAACTCTTCTGACTCTCTCTCTCTCTCTCTCTGTCTCTCTCTCTCTCCTCCATAGCTCTTCTGATCCTGCTAGGTGTACTAGGTATGATGATGCTGTAATGCAGGTCTGAAGGGGAAGCACCATGCACTCAGGAATCCTGCCTCCTTACCTTTACTCACCTTGGTCAGGCTGCGTCCCCAAATTACACCCTGTTCCCTACATAGTACTGTACTTTCACTATGTAGGGAATAGGGTGCCATTTTGGACTCACTTTGGTACCAGAACAAAGGACCATGTCAGATCTGAAGTTATATGCTTATAAGTGCAACAATGTTTTTCCACATAGTTAATGAAACACCTTCTAGTTGGGGGTAGTAAGACATTAACCTACAGAATGGACTCAGTGATACAAGGATAAGTACTAACATATTGTGTGGATTGACAATACTGTTTAAAGGAAACATTTAATCTATTTAACCTCATATTCATCATCTCCAGCACCACCCCAAACATCATATGTGAAAATTGAATTTTTCTATGGGGACATAAGTATATGGAGGATCATTTCTTACCAACTTCTTGTTTCTTAAAGGGACATTTCAACTTCATCTTCATCTCCAGCAACACCCCAACATCAACACTTATGTTCTTCTATCTTGTTGACTACAAAACATAGAAACCAGCCAGATTACAATTCTTTCACATTGTTCCTCAACTGTAGTGTATGATATACCATTTTCGAGTGTCTACTTTTATCCAATGTAAAAAACACAATTTCAAATGTTGCTACATAAGACCGAATCGAGCCGTCGGTCACGTGTTGCTGTTGGAGTGTTACTGGTGTTTTTTAAGAAATAAGAAGTTTGTGTAAAAACAGATCCTCCATATTCGTTTACCCCCATGTCATCCCCTACATGTAACTCATTTATTTGTACCAATTTTATTTTATTTTATTCTCTCTTTGCTGATATCGCGTTATGAAGGAAGACATGTTTGTCTGTGTTTCTTGGTGTAAGTGTTTGTGTCCGCACACATACCCCCCACTGGGTACAGACGTCAATTCAACGTCGGTTCAACGTCATTTCAACCAGTGTGTGCCCAGTGGGCCATAGATGAAGTCACAAGGGCTGCGTTTAGACAGGCAGCTGATTTCTGATCTTTTTGCATCAGATCTTTATTCAGAGCTGATCTGATTGGTCAAAAGACCAATTAGTGAGAAAAAAAAACAGAATTCGTCTGCCTGTCTAAACGCAGCCAAGGTGGCAGAAATTGTAATTTGTGGGTGTATACTGTGTGTATATACTGTGTGTGTGAGGGATTTTGTGTGTGTGTGAAGGCGTGCACAATGATGAAGCCACTGGATGGTGAACTGTTCCTCCTGATTACCCTTTTAAAGTATGTGCAATTATGGAAATATTAGTATTTATTTTTATGTTTTAAATAAGAACTTTTATTTACAATACAATGCATGTTTTATCTTTCATGGGTCTAATTTTATTAAATCTATTGACACAAAAAAATGACAACATTTAACATACTGTAATATACACTCAACATCTGACACAGGCGCAACAAGGACAGCAGGTTGCACAGTGGTTAAGAGTGTTTGGCATGGGGGGGGGGGGGGGGGGGGGGGGGGGGGGCATAGGTCTGATCTGTGGGTGTGGCCAGGGTTTATTTGGGGGGTCTCAAAACTCTCTCTCTCTCTCTCTCTCTGTCTCTCTGTCTTCCTTTTTGTACTGCCTCCAGCTTGTCTCAGTTTTTGTCCCAGCCACCCTATTCCCTACTTAGTGCACTCATTTTGACCAGGGCCCTATATAGGGAATAGGGTGCCATTTGGGACGCAGTCTCAGTGTCCTACCTGCTCCTATACTAATCCTAGCCAGCCTCAGACCTCACCGCAGGTCACTGAGGGATACAGTACATGACATGAGATAATGATTTGATTGGTTTGTATAGTCGCATTATTACCCTCTCTCTTCTGCTCCAAAAACATGGATTGACAGAGTGTTTTTTATGCAAAAAAAAAAAAAAAACATATATACATTTAAAATAACATCCATCATTTAATTTAATTCAACAAAAGAATGTGATTCTTAAAGAGAAATCATTTCTATAACCCAGATCAGATCAGGTAAATATGATTAACTATGTATCAATAAAGAGGCTCTGCTTTTATACATTTAAGTAAAACCTATTTTGTTTTCCATTGTCCTCTTTAGGGCACTTTCAAAAGGAAATGGATTGTCCATGGCAAAGTACATTTCATATTATGACGTCGTCATCCAAAGTCCCACCTCCATTGACAACACCAACAGGACATATAATGAGCGCCGATTTGTTGTTCCCGCTGTCACTCATATCAGGGTTGAACAAAGGTAACACTTTCTCAGTGAACTGTTTTCCCCGTGAACTAATAAATACAGTGGGGAGAACAAGTATTTGATACACTGCCGATTTTGCAGGTTTTCCTACTTACAAAGCATGTAGAGGTCTGTAATTTTTATCATAGGTACACTTCAACTGTGAGAGACGGAATCTAAAACAAAAATCCAGAAAATCACATTGTATGATTTTTAAGTAATTAATTTGCATTTTATTGCATGACATAAGTATTTGATACATCAGAAAAGCAGAACTTAATATTTGGTACAGAAACCTTTGTTTGCAATTACAGAGATCATACGTTTCCTGTAGGTCTTGACCAGGTTTGCACACACTGCAGCAGGGATTTTGGCCCACTCCTCCATACAGACCTTCTCCAGATCCTTCAGGTTTCGGGGCTGTCGCTGGGCAATACGGACTTTCAGCTCCCTCCAAAGATTTTCTATTTTGTTCAGGTCTGGAGACTGGCTAGGCCACTCCAGGACCTTGAGATGCTTCTTACGGAGCCACTCCTTAGTTGCCCTGGCTGTGTGTTTCGGGTCGTTGTCATGCTGGAAGACCCAGCCACGACCCATCTTCAATGTTCTTACTGAGGGAAGGAGGTTGTTGGCCATGATCTCGCGATACATGGCCCCATCCATCCTCCCCTCAATACGGTGCAGTCGTCCTGTCCCCTTTCCAGAAAAGCATCCCCAAAGAATGATGTTTCCACCTCCATGCTTCACGGTTGGGATGGTGTTCTTGGGGTTGTACTCATCCTTCTTCTTCCTCCAAACACGGCGAGTGGAGTTTAGACCAAAAAGCTCTATTTTTGTCTCATCAGACCACATGACCTTCTCCCATTCCTCCTCTGGATCATCCAGATGGTCATTGGCAAACTTCAGACGGGCCTGGACATGCGCTGGCTTGAGAAGGGGGACCTTGCGTGCGCTGCAGGATTTTAATCCATGACGGCGTAGTGTGTTACTAATGGTTTTCTTTGAGACTGTGGTCCCAGCTCTCTTCAGGTCATTGACCAGGTCCTGCCGTGTAGTTCTGGGCTGATCCCTCACCTTCCTCATGATCATTGATGCCCCACGAGGTGAGATCTTGCATGGAGACCCAGACCAAGGGTGATTGACCGTCATCTTGAACTTCTTCCATATTCTAATAATTGCGCCAACAGTTGTTGCCTTCTCACCAAGCTGCTTGCCTATTGTCCTGTAACCCATCCCAGCCTTGTGCAGGTCTACAATTTTATCCCTGATGTCCTTACACAGCTCTCTGGTCTTGGCCATTGTGGAGAGGTTGGAGTCTGTTTGATTGAGTGTGTGGACAGGTGTCTTGTATACAGGTAACGAGTTCAAACAGGTGCAGTTAATACAGGTAATGAGTGGAGAACAGGAGGGCTTCTTAAAGAAAAACTAACAGGTCTGTGAGAGCCAGAATTCTTACTGGTTGGTAGGTGATTAAATACTTATGTCATGCAATAAAATGCAAATTAATTACTTAAAAATCATACAATGTGATTTTCTGGATTTTTGTTTTAGATTCCGTCTCTCACAGTTGAAGTGTACCTATGATAAAAATTACAGACCTCTACATGCTTTGTAAGTAGGAAAACCTGCAAAATCGGCAGTGTATCAAATACTTGTTCT